AGAGAATTTCGCTCTATCAGCTCTGCAGCTCTTTAGCTCTTTCTTCTTTTCACTCTTCGCTCTTTCACCCTTGCTCTACAGTGCTGCATAGCTTATAGGGATGCAGCGTTACAGAGCATTTTTACATTTCTTAGTCTAAATGCAAGAATATAAAAATTTGTATATTATTTCGATACAGTAAGTCAATCGTGTATTTAATTGGAGAGAGGAGAATACGGATTATCGGTATTAATCTCAATATTGTTTTATGTTTTACTAAATGAGGTTGCGATAAGTTGAAATATGTCAGGAATGATTTTGTCTTGTCATCGGGAATCCTTTCTGAGTGGGCGATTGCCTTTCTCGATGCGAGCTCCGCAAATTTTCGCGAAATTGCCAGGACGCCCTCGGTCGAGAGGTTTCATTCACGGGATCGCATTGAAATCGCGACTGCCGAGGAATGCCGCTCTGCCCGGCTCTGTCGTAACGGTTGTAGAACGGTCCCGATGTCCTGCAGGCAGGAACTCCCCGGTTACACCTGCGGCACGCAGGCGTAGGCGCGCGTTGTACGGGCGTTATGTTAATACCGACGTGTATGGATCTGTCCGCTCTTTTACATTCCTTTCCTTTTTGTCTTTAACACCGCGGACCAATAAGTTTCAGAATCGCTGATCCGTAAAGTGAGGCAAAAAATCCTTTTCGAGGAACGGACGTAATAAACGCTGGGGGAATGGTCGATTCAGGAGTAGATAGAAAATCAGATCAGGGAGAGTGAGATCACTTTTTATCTTTTTAATCATTAAATATGGATGTTATCTTTATTTACTTAATTTTATTATCGGAATTATCCAGTATATTAATACATAATTTAAAATCCATATAAGTATAATATAATAGATAAATTATATATATATATGTAAAACTTATATTATTTTTAAGTATTTATATACTTGACAATTTTATGTCAAATTCGCAATGGCTGAAATATTTTCAAAAAGAATAACGTCAAATATTTTAAATAACAGATTATTTATGTACGACGGTCGCCTTGTTATTAGAAATATGACAATGTCATTGTTATTGATTAGGATATTAAAGATTAGCTAACCGATCTGATTAGCTGTATGCTACGTATTCCTTAATCAATTACTCCTCGGCACTGTTTACGCTTCCGTTTATAGCGCGCATAGTTTATGCAAATGTTTCGATAAGTCAGCCCGGAGAAAGCGGAATTAAATTCCCGGTGGAGGAGGAGGAGGTGAGAATGAAAGAGGCGTGAGAGGGTTACGGGTTGTCGACCGCTCTAATAAACATATTCACGGCAGTGATGTAACAATACCGATCTCGTAACGAAGAAAGTAACGCGGCGCAAGTTCGATGCACCGATGCGCGTGATTGATAGCGCGTTATTCGAGCTGGTCGGCTCCGAACGCGATTTCGACAAACAATGATTATCGTCGAGAGTATTCATATTTAACAGGCGTGTATTTATCCATTAATCTGTTTGACTTTCTACCGGTGTGTTTATAATTAACAGCATTAATTATTAAATTAATGTAATTTATAACTAATATACGCACGCACTACCTGCACGTACAGTAGTAGAGCGTTGGCGCCCATGATACTAACATATTATTTTACACGTTATTAATTAATTTCGTTATTATTACCCGTTTTAATAAATATGTATAATTTAATAAGCTAGTGGTAATTGTACGTGTGTATGTATTATACATGTCATACGCTTTACCAACCTAATTTAATTGCGATTAGCACAAACAATAGAAAGGCCTTATGCGGTCATGCTGGATCTCTTACAATTAATAACATTATTTTGTTTTCAACGCAGCAAACTACGATAACTTTTGATCTACGGTCGAAATAGTGTACGGTGATGGACCGAACAAGGTTGCGACACTTTTTTTTATGAGTTTAGGAATGAGTATTTAGATTTGAGTTTACGGTCCGAAACATTTTAAACTCACTAAAAAAAAGTGCCGCAATCTCTCCGTCCATCACTGTACCTAATTAAATTGATAATCAATTTGAGTAGTAATGCTAAATAAGTGTTTTTTATAAACGAACTGTAAAGACTTTATCGCGAAAAATATTACCTCGGCCAGGAAGAAAGACGTGTATGCAAAAAAATATTAAGATCCAGCATGACCGTATAAGGCGCTTCCATTACTCGCGTTATTGGTATATAACGGTCGAGTGCACTTATTACGGTTATTTATTTATCCGCTTTACCCTCGCTCATTGAAAATCTTCGTCGCCAAGAACTATATCGGGCGGCGGCGATACCTTGATATTGGCAATCGAGCGCTAGCGTAGGGTATCGATATTTTAAAGCGTCCCTAGTCACGTCCGCCTGTTAAATTCGCGAAAGTTTGCAGAGCGCGTCGGTGATTAGAGAGATTAAAGGGAAACATTTTATCGTAAACGATTCGAGAGAATTTAATTCGCTTGAAAGCTTTCGGGGTGAGTGAGCGTTTGCGAAGTTGCGTCGGCAAAATTCGCGAACGAGCGAATTCGCGGGCGAGAGAGGGAGAGAGAGAGGGGGGAGGAGGGGAGGAGAGAGAGCGAGAGCGGAGCACGCGTTTTCGATAGGCCGCGTTGAATTTTGCGGCGCTTTCATCGTTTAATCGAATCTTCCGCGCCGCACTGAGATCGCGATCGAACCGCCCGCGCCGCCGTATCGATCGACGCGATTTAAATCGATCGAACGCGCGCCCCGCCGTAACTCGCAACATTTCGTTGATCGAATCGAACGATATCGTTTGATTACGCATTTCGAATGGATTGATAATTTCGGTGGCCTGGAACACCGCGCCAGCGTTCCAGGGACTTTTGTCCGCTCTTTATTTTTTCGGAATTTATCCGGCGAAATTTAATTAAAAATTACGTATCCCTCGATTACGTAGACTTTGAAGATACTCCCTCCTCGCTCTCCTTCTTCCCCGTCTCTCTGTTTCTCTTTTTCTCTCTCTCTCTCTCTCTCTCTCTCTCTCTCTCTCTCTCTCTCTCTCTCTCTTTCTCTATCGATACCAATTTAATATAAAACGTGAAAAATAACGTGCAACACGCTGACAAATTACTCGGGCCGTCGGGATTATTGATAAAGTTTAAACAGCCCGGTGAACTTTGTGAATTCGGAGTCGCGTGGATTAATTTATGAAACGTCAATTTATTAATTAAGCACGCCCGGCCGGGCACGGTGAGTCGAGCAGCCGCTTTATTATTAATCGGTCTATTATGTTACATACGCCCGCGGAGTCGCAGCGATTGATATTTCGTTTGCAGTTTCGCCGGTTCACTCTTTCGTGTCTCACACGTGACACCCCCACAATCGCCGCTCGTACGCGTAATCGTAACGTCAACGTCGCGTGCAATCGCAATTATTCGCGCGGCGTTTTACCCTCGGCGTCCGCGCGCCTTGCTAAAATACACGCGAATCCGGCGGGAGCGTAACAAATTATACGCGTGCACGCGCCAATTTCTCTTAATACATCACAATAGAGCTCGGGGATATTTTTTTCTCTTCTCCCGATTTTTCAGGCAGTCCGTCGAGCGAAGAACCGTCTATTTCTGTCAGTGACAGGCGCGTAAAGTAATGCGTTATCGAGTTATCGCCACAGCAACGCTTTTAAGGAACGGAATATTCGTGCGCTTTACGTGATTTCTCTTTACGCAGCTTACATAGAAGAGAAATAATTGCCGCGAGTCTATTGGTGCGTGAAACTTTTATAATTATACTTTTGTACGCGGTTAACGAAAGATCCAGCGCGCGCGAGCGCGTTCCTCGATCGCCGATCCGTGAACAACTTTAACACGCGGCCAGTAGATCCGCATCGAGAGAGATAAAAGCGGCGGAGTTATGCGGCTCTCCCGTGGCCGCTCGCGCATACCGGGTGTCCTTGCGGAATGAAAGTACTTGGGAAACGTGACCTCTCCCGTTCCATGTATGAGTAATATACCTAGCTTGCGCTTAGCCTAAGCAGCGTTTCGAGATTCCAGCCGACCGGTCACAATCGAGCGAGGAATGCGCTTTTCTATTAGTGATCATTATCATAAAAACATAGTAATAGATAAATAGCTGGGTGGATACGCGGAGAGAAATGCCAGCGAGGTCGAAGACCCGCGAGAGAATTCACGGATTTGCGTATTTTTCAATTCACCACATCCCGGATCTGCGCGTTATCGAACGTTCATCCAATTTAAGACGCGGCGGAGTAGTTTGAATATCATTATAGTTATTACTAATTAACGTCCAACTGAAGCAAGATGTTGATTAACTTCAAAAGTAATTTCGTTCAAAATTTTTTTCCATTCATTCATATCAATTCATAAATACGTATGGAATGTCGAGCGTTTTGACCTAACTTGACATCCTCGGCAACGAGTCAGAACATTTAGCTTGAATTTTAACACAACAAGCAGTTTACAGTTTAAAAAGTGCCGAATCTCTGGAGTTCAATCGTGGTTTTTAGAAAATGTAAAAGTATGGCAAGAACGCGGGGAAAAAAGTTGTATCAACAAGATCTGTGTCAATGAAACCTTAAAAAAAAGATAAAAGAAGACGCCAAGTATTAGTGTCATCCAATCAAGAATTATATAATTTAATTATTTGGATATATTTTATTAGAAAAAAAAACATTTTATCTTATCTACAAAAGTATCTTCTCTACAAAAGTAATGATATCATTAAATTGTGCCAACTAAAATGGATATTTATACAAATTAGATACTTAATTATTTTAACATCTGTGTAATTGAAATAAAATCGTTGGAACAACATCGGCATTAATAAATGAAAAGTATGAGATAGTTGTCGCTTAAAATTTAAATCCATAGCAAGTACAATTGAGTGAATTATTTATGCTTGTGGCAGCCCGTGACGTTTAATTCAGGCAGCTTTATTTTTTTTTCTAATTTAACAGCATTGTTTTCCGCGGAAGAGTCTAGCAATTAGTCGAACAATTAAATGTTGACCAAATTAAAATAAAATTGTATTATTATTAATATTATTACATATCGCGAAACTATTGTTTGCCGTTATTTCATTACCATCGGGGTAAGAAACGATCGACTTTCAAGAGAGATTCCTAAGATTGTTTTATCGAATCGACTTGTACGCTATGTTTATTTTAGTGAACATCCGCAGAATTACGTGACCGTCTAATCCTTGCCGTTCTTTTTTCCTTTCAGATCGGGAGAACGCGATAATATCGAGCGTGCGTCGCGATCGAGCACGGGAAAAGCGGGACGGCCACGTGAGATCCGGTCTTGGGAGGACGGGAAAATATGAGCATCTCGTGAAGCCGGGACAAGTAGAGTTTTTATCATGGAGACCGAGGAACTCACCAGGCTCGTCGACGAGATTTACAAGGTAAGTGGCGAATTCTTTCCACTTATCGCAGATCGATTGAGCGCACTTGCTATGTGAATGAGCGGCTCACGAACTCTTCGAAGATATCACTAGGTTCCCAAAATTTCAAGCTTATCGGTCAACACAAAAATTGTACGTTTCCACGTAACTGGGCCGTGTTCAACGACACATTGTTGAAAGAATTACGAGAGGAAAAGTTTTTAACCAATTGTTTTAAATTTACAAATCATTGCGTCAACATAGATATGCGAAGGCACAGTGGCAAATGACCGAGCAATAGTCAGAGCATGAAATTAAACTGAAAGTTAAAACGTACAAATATAACGAGTCAATGTTATAAAGATATATAATATAAATTTATTAATCCACACTGAAAAAAAATTTCTGGTTGAATATGGACGAATCAGATAATTCCTTTAGGATTTACCAGAATTCCTTTAGGATTTACCAGAATTTCTGTAGGATTACAGGAATTCTGGTAAATCCTAAAGGAATTCTGGTAAATCCTAAAGGAATTATCTGATTCGTCCATATTCAACCAGAAATTTTTTTCAGTGCACGCTTGATGGCGTGAATTTGGTTTGAGATGTCCACCAAAAACCATGCTTGTAGTCACCAGTATAAAAATTAGTATATGCCTCTGCTTACTTTGTCTTGAGATAAAAACGAAAGAAATTATCAAGTTGAAAAATGTACAAAATTAATCAATTGGAAGGAAAGACAAATATTTCTAATTATCGTAATTGACGAGAATCTTTAGACGTGGTCAAGCGTTATTAATAAAGAACGAAAGTCAATCCGTCTTCACTTCTGCCTGTTACGAAGTCGTGCGGTAGACAATTTTCTCAAAAAGGTCAAGAGCTGTCTAACAGATGTCTAACAAGCGCACATACTCTCAATTATTGAACGGTTATGCCCGGATTGGCAAGGAAAATGCAAATCTCACGTTGAATTAGAGAAAGTAGTTGAAATAAGCGCAATTCTCCGATCATCGAGGAATGAAAGTGCGTTTACGTTGCGCGAGGACGCGTAAGAGTCGAAAGGACGATTGACTCTCTCGAAATTTTACTACTTCACTCTGGGAACAAAGAAGACAGTTAGCAACTCATTTTGGGGCCCGCAATTAGTAATCGAACTATTTGGATTGTTCGTAACACTCTGGGAAAAATTTTGACCGATTTTTTTTTGTAGTTAAGCAATTTAACATTTCGGTCAGTGCCTCTTAAGTGAAAATTATCTTTGCGCTACTGAATATAGACAGAACTAATTGAGAGAATTGATTAGTATTACTTAAAAATCTTGGATACAGATAGAATGGCTAATTGCGATTTTTAGTTACGCGGGGTAAAATTCGTAAAAGATTACAGTTACGAACAATCCAAATAATTCGATTACTAATTGTGGGCCCCAAAGTGGGTTTGCTAACTGTCTTTTTTTTCCCCAGGGCACTCGAAAGCCTTGCCCGATAAATTGCACATTTTTGGGGGGGATCGTTCACGCGATTAGCTCCGTAATCCCGCCTTAGAATGTCCGGCGATAATTATCGCAAACGGTATCCGGCTACGGTGGCCGAACGACGCCTCGTTACGATCTCCCGGAGATCGCATCGAAATAACGAGGTAACCGCCGGTTAACCCCGTTATCGCGCGGCTGGGAGTTTATGGGGTCCCGTCGCTGACAAGCGAGCCCCGTGGCGCGAGTATATCACGCTGTGCGCAGTTATGTTTCAGCAGGGTTATTCAAGCCAGGTGTACCGGGGGGAGCGAGAGGGAGGGGGGGGCAGGGGGTGCGCGCCCCTGCGTGGATATTAATTGGCTTCCGATCTACACGCACTCCCTCTTGCGCGTGCCATCGGTTTTCGGTACAGAGGGTACGCTATTAAGTACGTCGTTGTCTCAGTTGAGAATGTCGTTGTCTCATTTCTTGGTCAATACCATAACATAGGACAATACCGATGAGACATTCTGAGAACTAGGGGGTGTATCCAAAAATTTGTTTGAGTTTTGACCTTACTAGACTTTTATTTAATTTCAAAGAAATGATTTTAATTTAATTTCAAAGAAATTTCTTTACCTTAACCAAAATTTGATTTGATCGAGACCGGAATTTCTAAGAGAATTCATATCTATTTCTTCAAATCTAGCAAATGTCTTAGTACAATAAAAATTTAGCAGATTGAAAGAAATGTGATTTCAACGTATGCCATTTGTTTAACCTAACTAAATCTTTTTTCTGGGTGCTGCCTCTTGTGTTTTTTTTAAATATCAGCTACTGGTTTGAGTAAAGAAACTTAATATGATTAGCCACACACACACTTCTGGTGGACGTAAAAGTGTTTTATCGGTACTGGAAAGTGATTCTTAATACAACGTGCACACCAAACGTGATTAAAATATCTCTCAACGTTTTCTTAGATTTTCGAAATTTTTATCTTTTTCCTCGACACTTTAGGTTTTACGTATGTTTAGAAATATTTTCTTCATAAAATGAACCAAGGTATATCCCCTATATTTTTTGTACCAACTTAGTAATCACTCTGTACATGTATAATTAATTAATTTTGCAAAATCAATAATGGACGGATTAATTTCATCGCACATACGTACCCGCCTTAGGCATACAGCGGTTATTATGAACTTGGCATGGAAAGTACACGAAATAAAGTACTAAATATTTGACGAAACCTCAAATACAAGACGTGCCATGTTAAAATACGAGGCGTCCCCTGCGGAGATGAACTCCTCGACATATTCTGAATCAATTTTGACAAGATATGATACGATTGAAACTTATGCAGCGACTTAATTAGCATTAGCGATCGTTCCATTCTGGTTTCTATCTGTTTATAACATTGCACTTCTCCCTCGGCGCGCAATTCCGCGAAAAAGTTCCGCCAGGAAGATTTAGAAACTTCGTTTACACATTTCCGTGAGCGGCCGTCCTGCAGGAACCCTCCCCGCAGAATTTCTCGCGTATCTCCGCGTCGATATTTTGATCATTGGATCGCGAAATCACTCGGCTTGGAAAGCGTCGAGGGACGAAATATCTTTCGCTCCATTTCCACGAAATGTCTGCCTTACATGAGGCCCTCTCCTTTTCCCTGGGCCCTAGGAATCAGTTAAAAAGGAGGATACGTGTTAACGATCGGCCAGTCCACGTGGCTTAACGAGGTCGTGCTCGTTATGCGTGTTCATTAGGGCGTTCATTACGACCACTTGTCGTCCCCGAGTAAACTCGGAGTCCTTAACGGCTGAGAGGATTAATTTTTAATATATATATACATATATATATCTTTTCTCCTCGTAGAGGGGAACTCGACGAGGAAGCACCCGCGGTGAATTAATCTTGTTTTTTTCGCTCCTGCCGTCGGAGGAAAAAATTCATTAGCATGTCGCAATATGGCGCTATTCGGCGCAATAAGCGGCGCGCGATCGCTGATATCTGCGTTTCCTTTGCTTCTTTTCTCCCCCTTTTTTTAATAAAGTGATTTGCGTCTCTCTTTCTGTCGTTCCGTTTGATTTATGATTGGCGGAGCGACGTTCCAAAGGAAGAACATGGTCGAAATGTGAAATAAGGTTTATATAATAATAGGTTAATATATGTATACTTTTTCTTAGGATAAATTTACATAACAATAATAATATTATAATATGCAGAAAAAGAAAGACATGATTTATTGTGATAAAAATTATGAGAGTTTTATTGTAGTTATAATAATACGCACGTTATCTGATAATATTATAATGTGCATTAGCGTCTCGTGTAAAACGTGTGAGGGCCGATTTTTCCAACCTCTTGGTAAGCTAGTACTTAACTTATACGTCTATTTTTGTTTAATTTGAAGGAAAAACAAAGACATAGAATTTAATATTACCAGGAGGTGGGAACAACCGCTCCTAAATCATGCAGTTAATAGTGTGTCGTAGTAGTAGTGACTTCCAAACAGTAGCGTCATGATAGTCCGGTCCTCCCCAAGTATTACAGAACAAAAAGATATTTAAAAGTCAAGCTGACATAAAAAAGTAGTCATTTCTAGAAGGTCAAAATGCTATCATTCCACGCTTTTGGAACATAATTTAACTTTCTTATGACTATATTTTGACCGTTCGATCATTTTCGCCGAGGGAACGCCGAGAGAAACAAATCAAGAAATTATTGCAAGTAGTATTTCATGAAAATGTACAATTTTGCAAAAATTAGTACAAAACTTTGCTAGTTTTAAAAATTTGAGAAACAACAAAATCTTAAAGAATCAAAACATTTGCTTACTTGTAGAGTATTAAAAAAATTAACAAAATTGTTCCAATTCTAGCATTTTTATGTTGATTTTTATAACGCTTTTTAAATTTACGTAGAAGTTCTTAGATTCTGGCTGTTATATTTCATTTTTTTTGTAGACTTTTGTAGAATTATTTCCGGCAGGTTTGTGCTGTTCGCGAATTCTTTTTCACATAGCATGATTGATCTAACCCAGTGTGATATGGGTTAGATAGAGATTAATAAATTTTGTTGTTTATCAAGAAATTTGTCAACAAATTATCAGTAAATATGTTTATGTATCATTCACATTTATACTATTATTTATTTGGTAAATGTGGAATATTATGCTATCTTTCTGTCCCAGTATTGCCATAAATAACAAAAATATGGCAATTCTTAAAAAGCGGGCCCCTCTCTCCTGGATTTACTTTACATTATAAAATGTAAATTACCTTATAAGTTATAAAAATGATTAGAATATACATTAAGGGGCTCTCTTACGCGATTATGGAAATGACTCTTTAATTTCGAGGAATTTACAGCGCTTTGCGAGTATCGCGATTTATTAAGGAATGGCCGTAGTTTACCTCGAAGTATGCATTATACATTAACGTAATCGGAGAATGGGTGCGCGATTTAAATATTTCTTGCATTAATCAAGCCGGGCAACGACGAGGTTCATCGACCGTAACAACGTTTTTACAAAATGTCTTCCTCGAGTTTGATTTATCTCAGCGTTG